TTGATTGATCCAAGTATACCAACATTAGACTTTTTAGACGTCCTTATTTTTTTCTTCTATAGTCCTCTTTTGAGTTCAAATTGTTGCTGCTTTTTATCCACCGATAAATGTTGATCAGGAGGCGTTAAGTTCACTGCTTTTGCTTCGTCGAGAAGATCCGCCAGCTTTCGCTTTGCCCGTTGAGCACCTTTGATTATAGTGTTCGACATTTCCGGCTCGTGGCACCAATTTTTTGTCGCCGAATTTCTCAATCTCAAACTTATTAAACCTTTATATTAAACGCTAATTAAACCCTTATTCCTCAAAACTCGGTAATACAGAAACGAATTCAGCAATAATATGAACAAAAAGGGGGGGGGGGGAGCAAAGGCCAAATGACGCCCGTATTGTCTTCCCAACCGACCTGTTGGAACTTTTTTTGGCTGATTTGGCGTTCAGGACCTCCTTTTTTTTATTGCTGCAATTTCGCGTAATGACTTTCGGAGTTTTTCCGACAACAGTTTTTGCTCAATTTTGATACTGGACAATGGGTCTTGTACAGATTTGAAATCCGATTTCACGATACTTCACTTCAATTCCATTAAATCTAACTTAAATCAACAATTTCTTGGGTGTCGTAACAAGATCCGGTTCCGGTACTACAACAGACGCGACTGGTTGATGCCATCCGGCTTCAGCGATATACTCTCGAATATTGCGGATAGCGCCATTGTTGCGTAATTTATTTTTACATTGCACCTAACATCATAAAATACGCTGGTAAGTGTCCAATCAATCAATAGCTAAATTTCCCACTATTGCAACCTTTTGTTCTTTGATCTTTGGATTTCTGATATTCGAGAGGAAGAGGAAGAGAGAGAGAGAGAGAGAGGAGGAGAAGAAGAAATGATAGAATTTGAAGAATGATAATACTTGATAAATTAAAAGTAGACTTTTTTTCATTTAAATATGTTAATTTTATGCGACAAAATTATCATTTTTGTCGAAAAGGAATAAATTTTTGCATATATTCAAATAGCAATCATATTACAAAGATATAAAAGGTGAAGGAAATGCTGAATTAACCACTTTGGACAATTCTAACTTGGCTACCACGATGAGCGGCGGTAAGGGTCGCGACTATCTACTGGGGAAATAAATAGGATTATGGCTACTGTGGGGCACGGTTTGAGTCGTCATAGCACATCGGTTGTTTATAATATCATCGACGCACCTTGCTTGAGAATATTCACTGAGAACATTTAAAAAAGTTCACTAAAGCATAGCGATAAAAGTAAAAAATAATTTTTTTTTCCCTGACAAGAGAGAAATCCAATTGAACGGATAATATTCTTTGATATTTGAGGTTGTTACAAACTCAATAAACGGCGATGCTCAATCTGTCGTGGAATGGGTACTAAGTTTGAAGTAAGAGTTTTATTAATAAATTATATTTGGCCGCAAATTTGATAAAAATTCCTCTTTATTTTTCTACAGATGAAATTTGTTCCGAGAGGAAAAAGTTATCAGCTTTTTAATAGTTCAATAATAATTTCCGTTTAAATAATGACCAGAAAAACGGAAACAAATTTCGCAGGTTCTGCCGAACAAATCGGTTACACCGAATAAACCGATTGCACCGCAAAAACAAGTGCGTAATTCGGCTAAGGAACTGCAGCGTCCCGCTACTGGAAATATGCAGTATGCTTACGAGGAGCTGCCATTGGGTAATCGAGCTTTTGCATTGCGCATGCGATGCTTGGAGGAGAAGAAGCAGATGGAAAAGGCGAAGAGAGAGCAGCTTAATAAGAAATTTAAGCAGAAACGAAACAAACCCTCGACCCGCAAATGATATGTAACTGGAATAACTCATTGTATAATTAGGTGGGATGGGTTTATGAGTTTGTAAATTTTAAAAATCTGCATAAATACTGGAAATTGGAAGTGCTACACAAAAAGGAAGTAAAGGTGAAGCACAAGTAATGAACATTACTCTCTTTCCCACACATTTAAAGTTCTTGCGGTTTGATCAAATGACTGATATGGATGCTTTCTGTCACTTTCACCATTTTGCCCTCTCGCCAAAAGGTCAAGCAAGTTGAAATATAAGGCCTAAACCGGAATATCTTTGAAACCCATTCACAGTAATGGTTGGATATTCGTCCCATCGATTTCTAAAGATGAGTTCCCGAGAGGCAAGCGAAAAGGCTAGAACCGACCGACTTCAAGATGATCTGAGGTTCCTTGCAATATGCCGACATTGATCTGAGATTCTTTACAATAACAATTTGATATCAACACGATTTGATCCATAACATCTTACAACACACGTCGAAATTATTTTTATACTAAAAAAATTTCGATTTTTACCGGTACTATAACGAAATAACAACATTTGCGCTCCATGTCTTTTTAACAGTTTGGTGTGCGAATATTGAGCGGCGCAAATGTCGCATTGCACAAATAGCCGTGTCCGTGAAACGCTTCAAGCTATCTTTCTTGGTAGCATATCTCTGATTTTTTGGAATACAAATAACAAATGCATAGAGAAGAAGGCATATCTAATGAATGGGAAAAGCACGAAAGATCGGGAAGCATTAATTTCATCATAATCGATAATACTTACGTAAACATATCATATTCGTGAAAAATCCAGATTATTAATTTTAAATACGGGATCGTGCCATGGATGGCAATTAACGGGACAGTTGTCGCCAAATTTCTCAATCTTAAATTTGGCTAATTAAACCTTTATTCCTCAGAACTCGGTGATACAGAAACGAATTCAACAATTATAATATCAATATAAACAAAAGGGGGGGGGGGGGCAAAGACCAAATGACGCCCGTATTGTCGTCCCAACCAACCTGTTGGAACACGTCTTTCGAAAATGATTTGGCGCTCAAGACCTCCTTCTTTTTATTGCTGCAATTTCGCGTTATGACTTTCGGAGTTTTTCCGACATTCCCGACTGAAGAAGAATATTGCTCTTAGGTGTTCTCGATTTGAATTCAAAATTTCAGTGTTTGAATTTCGTTGAGTAGCATTCCTAGTTCTTGGAGCTATAAGTTCTTCTTGCTGATCTGGGTTCTCCATTGGTTTTTTAAAAGCTGTCAACTGAATTCTCGAACTTTCTTCAACAATTATTTCCAAGGGATACAGTACATTTACTGGTCTACTAAGAAGTTTCCCGTTGGGCATCTCTACCAATGCGCTTCTTGTCACTCCGTCTTTACCTTTTCTGAGTTCTTCTATCCTTACCAACTTCCACAAGCCTTGAGGCGTTTCTGGTTCATCTACTAATACAATTTCGTCCTCTCTTGGCTTACGTTCCTCTGTGCCTTTAGGATTTACGTGTTCCTTTTAAGTTCTTTCCCTGAGGCTCATTAAGTAGTCCTTTCTCCATGTTTCCCAAAATATATCAAGTACTTTAAGCGTTCCCAACCAGTATTTGATCATTTGTTCTCTTGTATCAAAGTTTCCTGGTTTGAATTCGTCCTGTTCGTCATCAACTGTTTGGATAATTAAAGAGGCACTAGGATGTATAAAATCGATTAGGCGTATTATCTTACAGTCATCGAAGTTAGCATAAGTCAACGGCCGGGTATTCAGTACATTTTCGTATCTCCACGATCAACGTCATAAGTTCTCTTTCCCATAACAGTTTTCTTCCAATAGCTCTTCTCATAGCCTTTCTTGGTCAGTCCTATCAGTCGCTCGTAGAGTCCGCCACTCCAGGGAGCACTCGGTGTCATATTTTCCCAAAGCATTCCCTTTTCTGCCAGGAATTCACCTATTCTGATATGTTCCTGCTCCTTCATGGCTTTGAAAACTACTTGGAATTGGCTTGCATTGTCGCTCAAAACTCGTCCCGGATAGCTACGTCGAGAAATGAATCTCCTTAGCACCTGTAGAAAACTTTCAACTGACAAATCTTCTACAATCACAAAATGAATTGCTCTTATTGTGAAACATACGAATAGGGCAACCTATCTTTTGGTTACTCCAACTTCGATTTTGATGGAGATCGAACCAAAATAATCCAATCCGATTTTTGCAAAAATCCTGGAACGTAAAACTTGTGATTTAGGGAGATTCGGCATAGCTGGTAGTTTAAATGGCTTAGCTGTCCAACGTTTGCAACCCGTACAGCCTGCTATAACACGTTTCATTTCCATTCGTCCTTTCGATATCCAAAATTTGCGCCTCATTTCCGAAAGAACATGCACTACTCCAGCATGACATAGCTTTTCATGTTGTTGTCGTATCAAAAGTTCGGTAACCGCATTATGCCTCGGTAAGTAGATTGGATGTTTGCTTTCCTCGAACTACCTTCGAATTTTCCAATCTACTCGTGATCTCCACAGCTTTCTGTCATTGCAGTACAAATTCCATTTTTCCTTTTCTTCCTCGTTGAGTCCTTCTGTCTGCACTTGTCTAATTAGCACCCATTTGGCTAATTTAAAATCCTCCGACGTTAGTCGTTTCACTTCTGTCGACATCGGTTGTATTCATGCTATCTCTTACCCTTTGTCGTGAGTTTAATAAATTTGAGACCCCAAATAGTGGTTCTTACAAGTCTGGACCATTTGCTGAACCGACTTCCATCTATAAGCGAAAATTGTGCTACCTCGATTGTTTGAGAGGCGACCTTTGCAACGATTCGTTCTTCGTCTTTAAATTCTTCTGTGGACTGATATT